TCTCCCATCCTTGTCCCCACCCTCATCCCATCCCTGTCCCCATCCTTGTCCCCATCCCATCCCTGTCCCCATCCCATCCCTGTCCCTGGCAGGATCCCACCCCAGCCAGTGTCCCCATTCCTCTCCCATCCTTGTCCCCACCCTCCCTGTCCCCATCCTTGTCCCCATCCCATCCCTGTCCCCATCCCATCCCTGTCCCTGGCAGCATCCCATCCTAGCCAGTGTCCCCATTCCTCTCCCATCCTTGTCCCCACCCTCCCTGTCCCCATCCTTGTCCCTGGCAGGATCCCACCCCAGCCAGTGTCCCCATCCCTCTCCCATCCCATCCTTGTCCCCGGGGGCGGGCGAGGGGCAGAGAGCAGCCCCCAAAGCGGAGCATCCCCCCTGGTCAGGACCATACCGGAGCACCCCCCAGTTCAGCCTCCAGCGTGGGGGGGTGATGGGAGGGGGGGGGGGGGTTGTCCCAGCCCTGACACCCCAGGGGGGAACACTCTCGCCCTCGCGCCCCGGCCACCCCCACCTGGGTACTGGAGCGGGATGTCGATTTTGGGGCCGATGACGTAGTGTCCCTCCTCCAGGCTGTGAGCCGTCACCGTCGTCCACTGCCGGCACGAGTGCACCAGCAGCACGTCCTGGGCGCTCACCCCCTCCACGCGCTCACCTGCCGGGGGGGGGGGGGGTGGGGGGGGGACACGCGACGGGGCTGTCACCATCCCCAGGACCCCCCCCCCCCCTTCCCTGGGCCACCCGGGGGCGGCCGTCCGCCAGCCGGACGGATGGACGGACGGACGGACGGGCAGCCGGAGGGATGAGCAGGTGCCCGCTGCCAAGAGCCGCCAGTTGCCCAGGAAACAAATTTCTTTGTCCCCCCCTGAAAAGCTGCAGCCGCCGCGAACAACAAGTTTATTGAGTCGGGGCCGGCACAGGGGGACACCACCCCCCCCCGCCCCACCCCCTGCCCCCCCCCCCCCCCCCCCCCCAACCTGCTGCACCCCAAGGCCCTGGCACCCACCCCCGGCTTGGCCCCGAGCACCCACCCTGCTCCGTGGGGGGGGGGGGGGGGAGGGTGGCACCCTAGGGGGAACCTGCACCCCCCCGCTGCCCCCCCCCAGCCTGTTGCCTGGGGCGGGGGGGTTACATCCAGGGGGGGTCCCCCGGGGGGGTGGCGAGGGGACGCGGTGGCTCCCAGTCCACACCAGCCTGGTGCCACCACTCCCAGTGTGGCACCCAGTAAGGGGGGGGGGGGGGGGGGGGGGGGGAGCAACCAGTGGCCGGCCCCAGGGCTGGGGGGGCCGTGGGGGGCTGGGGGGGGTCAGGGGGGTCGGGGGTCTGGGGGGGCAGCCCCGGGCCCCCACGGGAGAACAGTCCCACCCGCAGCAGCCCTGGGGCAGCAGCCTGGCCTGTCTCCCTCCCTCCTCCTCCTCCCTCCAGCCTTCCTCCCTTCTCCTGGTGCCTCTAGTCTTCCTCCTCTTCACGCCTCCAGCCTTCCTCTATCTCTTCTCCTCCTCACCCATCTGGCCTTCCTCCCTTCCTTCCTCCTCCTCACCCCTCCAGTCCTCCCCTCTCCTTCCTCCTCCAGCCTTCCTCCTTCCCCTTCCCCATCCCTCTAACCTCCCTCCCTCCTCCTCCTCACCTGCCCAGCCTTCCTATCTCTCCTCCACCCCTCCCTCCCTCCTCCTCATCACTCCAGCCTGCCTCCCTCCTCTTCATCCCTTCAGCTTTCCTCCTCACCTCTCCAGCCTTCCTCCCTCCCTCCTCCCCATCACTCCAGCTTCTCTCCCTCCTCCTCCTTCTCGTCACTCCAGCCTCCCTCCCTCCCTCCCTCCCCCTGGTCCCTCCAGCCTCCCTCCCTCCCCCTTCCTCGACCCTCCAGCCTTCCTCCCCGCTTCCTCCTCCTCCCCATCACTCCAGCCTCCCTCCCTCCCTCCTCCTCATCCCTCCAGCCTTCCTCCCCCCTTCCTCCTCCTCCCCATCACTCCAGCCTCCCTCCCTCCCTCCTCCTCATCCCTCCAGCCTTCCTCCCCGCTTCCTCCTCCTCCCTATCACTCCAGCCTCCCTCCCTCCCTCCTCCTCATCCCTCCAGCCTTCCTCCCCGCTTCCTCCTCCTCCCCATCACTCCAGCCTCCCTCCCTCCCTCCTCCTCATCCCTCCAGCCTTCCTCCCCCCTTCCTCCTCCTCCCCATCACTCCAGCCTCCCTTCCTCCTCCTCCCCATCACTCCAGCCTCCCTCCCTCCCTCCTCCCCATCACTCCAGCCTCCCTCCCTCCCTCCCTCCTCCTCCTCGTGCCTCCAGCCTTCCTCCCCGATTCCTCCTCCTCCTCCTCCTCGTCCCCCAGCCTTCCTCCCCCCTTCCCCCTCCTCCTCCCCATCCCCGCCGCCCCCCCGCCGCTCACCCTGCCCCAGGCAGACCAGGGTGGGCAGCCGGCACTGGCTGACGATCGCGTCGAGGGGCAGCGCCGCGGGGCTCCAGCGGAGCCGGGCCAGCCCCGCCGCCAGCTTCTCCATCGCATCCCGGCTCAGGCCGGCCCCGGGCCGCGCGGGGGGGCGGCCGCACCGGCCTCCATCGCCGCCGCCGGGCCGGGGCCGGGGCCGGGGGGCGGGGGGGAGCGGGGGCAGCCGGGAGCCGCCCCCCGCCCGCCCCCGGCCCCTCCTGCCCGCCCGCCCCGACAGGCGGGACCCCCCCCCGGGGCGGGGGCGGGGGAGGCGGCGGCGGGCGGGGACCCCCCGGCGGGACATCCCCTCCCTCCACGGGGACCCCCCCCCCCGAGGCGGGGGATGCTCGGGGCGGGGGGGGGGGGGACACACAGAGCTGCCCGCGGGGGTGTGGGGGGGGGTTCAGCCCTGCCGGGGTACGGGGGGGGGGCTCAGCTCGGGAGCCGCTGGGACACCCCCCTCCCCAAGGAAACGCCAGGGCTTGGAGGTCCATGGGGGTGGGGGCGGCTGCGGGGATGGGACACCCCGATCCCCCAGCGGGGACCCCCCAGCACAGACCCGAGGCACGCGTGGCACCCGCACCGGGAGCGGAGACCCCCACCAGGCGGGAACTCCCCCCCGCACATTCGGGGGGGGGTCACGGCCACCCTGAGCTGGGGACGCCAGGCCCGGGGGGTCCCCGCAGCCGCGGTGGCTCTGAGCCCCCGGCCGAGCTCCGCGGCCGTCGCGCACCGGCCACCAGCATTTCGGGGCCACCCCCAGCCCCGCGGGTGCCGCGGTGGGGAGCAGAGGGCACCGGTGGGCTCGGGGACACCACGCCCCGCCCCCCCCCCCCCCCCCCCAGCCACCACCCCAGGGTGCTCAGACACCTGGGATGAGGAGGATGAAGGAGCTGGAGGAAGCAGCAAGAGCCCGCGGGGTCAGTGCCCAGCCCCAGGGACGTGCCACCGCGTGTTGTCCCCTGCCACCCCACTGTGTTCCCCCCCCCCAGCACCCCCAGGCAAAGGCCTGCTGCCAGACCCCCCCGGTGATGGGTGCCAGAGACCCCCACCCCTCCTCGAGGGCCTGACTCGGCGCAGGGAGGGGGGGTCCTGGTTCAGGTAAATGGGGGGGTGACACACGACATGACACGGATACCCAAAGGTGCCGTCGGAGCAGCAGCTGGGTCCTCCAGGGCAAAGCCCAAATGTGTTGGGACATAAAAAATTGCCAGAATAAGCAAAGACAGCGATGGAGAAGGGATGGGGACAGAGTGGGCACAAGGACAGAGCAGGGATGGGGACAGAGCAAGGACAGGGACGGAGCAGGGATGGGGATGGAGCAGGGACAGGGATATGGGGAAGGGATGGGGACAGAGCAGGGACAGAGATGGAGAAGGGACAGGGATGGAGCAGGGATGGGGAGGGAGTGGGGACAGGGATGGAGCGGGGATGGGGACAGAGTGGGGACAGAGATGGAGAAAGGACAGGGATGGAGCAGGGATGGGGAGGGAGTGGGGACAGGGATGGAGCGGGGATGGGGACAGAGTGGGGACAGAGATGGAGAAAGGACAGGGATGGAGCAGGGATGGGGAGGGAGTGGGGACAGGGATGGAGCGGGGATGGGGAGGGAGTGGGGACAGGGACAGAGCAGGAACAGGGACACCAGCAGCAGCAGCAGGATGATGGGGACTCAAGCCTGACGGGGATGACACCAAGGGGGACACCCAGAGCTGCCGGACAGTGTCCGTGGGGAAGGTCCCTGCCGGGTCCCCGACCCCCCCGGGGGGCACAACCACCGGGGCCGTGCAGAGGGGCCCCGCCGTGCCCCCCCGGCTCCCGCGGTCCCTCGGCCGGGGATGAACCTTCCCGCCCCACCGCGAGACACTGACGAGAGCCCGGGGAGGATTGGGGATCGCCGAGCCGCTCCCCGCGGCATCAACCCCCTGCGAGGGGGCACCCGGGGCTGCACCCCCCCCTCCCCAGGGCAGCACAAAAACCCCGCTCCCGGTTACCGCCACCGCGGCAGCGGGAGGGGAGGAGGAGAGACATCCCCACAGCGCTCGGCCCTCGCTGAGCTTCTGCGGGGGGGTGACAGCCCCGACCCAGGGGGGCCCGAAGCCTGGGGGAGAGGGGATGGGGAAGGGCTCGGTGGGGAAGGACGGGCTGGGCTGGCGGCAGGGAACGGCCGCTTTCCTTCCTTCAACACAGCAGAAAAGGGTCCCCCCCGCCGGCGAGGAGGGGGGGGTCAGAGCCAGGGGTACCCCCAGCCCCGCCACACCCCCGGCAAGAACAGCCAAAAATTTTTGCTGCAGAAAAGAAAGGACCAGCTCTACCTCCCCGAGCAAGTAATTTCTTAAAAGAGACCAGCCCGCGCACGCCGGGCTCCAGCAGTAGGGTCAGGCGCTGAGCCACGTCCAAGAGCAGCTACAGCCCCCAAGAAAAGATTTTTCTTTGGCCCAAAGGCTCCGGGGGGGGGGGGTGGGTCCAGCCCCGGCCCCCACCTCCTCCGAGGGGCAGGGGCTCAGCCCTCTCCCCCCAGCAAGGCCTGGCGAAACGGGAATTTAATGGGGCCGAGGAAGTAACCGATGCAAGTTTATAAAAGCTTTTATTTGCTCTTGGTATGACCAAGAATGGGACAGTGATCTTTTATACAATTTGATACAGTAAGTGGTACAAAAGAATGTGTCTTAAATAAAAAGCCAGAGTGGAGTAGCAAAAATATTAAAAGATTAAGTAAAAAATTGTAGGCATGGGAATTAATCCTAGACCTTAAGTTGATGCTGTTTTTCCACCGTCCAAGTCCGAGAGGAGGAAGCGCCGCCTTTCCCCTGCCCCACGCCAGCCGCTCCCCGGGGCAGCGCCCAAGCGGTTAAACGCACGGGTAGGATCGATTCAACCTCGGGTTTTAGTTTTATCAAGACCAATTTAATCGTTACTTTTTTTTTTTTTTTGCTGTGACAAAACCAGGTAGGGCTGAGCCTTCCTCGGCGGGCCGGGGGCTGGCGCGGGGACAGTCGCTCTCGCCTCCTTTCCTGGGCTGGCCTGAGGCTTTATTCCACGCACGGGGCTGGGGAGGGGGTGTCTTCCAAGTAGAGGTTTCACAAGCAGTTAGTTTGCTAGCTAGCAGGAAATTTAGATACCGGCAGAAATAAAGTTACTGCAAATTCCTCCAACATTATTATTATTACTTTTTGTTTGGTTGTTTTGTTTTTGTTTTTTGTCTTTTAGCATCTGCAGCGACTCTTGTTGCTCACTCCTCCTCGGCTGGGCCTTGCACTCCACAACACAACACAACGCCAAGCCACGCGGTTAAAATTCATGGTTTTTATATGAACAGAAGTAAGACCATCTAGAAATATTTCAGTTTATTAACTCGGCAAGGAGAATAGGGAACGGAGGTGGTAGCTAGTGGTACCAGCGAGTGGCCTGTTCTCTACCTGTTGGCTTGCAACAAACACAGCGTCTACAAAGGATCCCGAGGGATTTACACAGAGGGAGTGAAGCCCCCAGAAGCAAATAAAAAGCTCACGTTTAAAACAAGGATTATACAAAAAAAAAAAAACCCCTTGATGTCTCGTTCTCCATTTTTCCCTTTTTGATCATGTGAGAAAGTGCAGATTTCACCCAAAGGCAGCCGTCCCCCACTCACATCGCTGCCGGCGGGCGCCAAGCGCAACGGTGCCGGGTGATCCGCCCGTCGCAGCGCCCTGCCCCACCCCGACAGCCCCTCGGCTGGGAAGGGTTCACACACACACACACACACACACACACACACACACACACACAGAGACAAAATGCCAAAGCACGGAGGAAAAAGGGAGACACCTCGGTCTCGTTGCTACGGGGGAAGCCGTTCAGAACTGGGAGTTCCGTGTTAAAACACCGTCATTTCGTTACAACCGAACCAGCCTTAGTTACTACTTGAATTATTGACCCGAGACAGTCCAAAACCCACAAGAGCGAGGCACAAGCTTGTCCAGCTTTAAAGGAGAACGTGAGGCCTGGGGGGGGGGGGTGGGGGAGAAAGAAGAAGCATCTATTTAAAATCTCTTTTTGTCCTTGGCCGGAGCAGCTCTCCTGCGTGGTATTTTAAATGCCAGGCAAGCGCGGGTCCAGCCGGGCAGCGTTGGCCCGTTCCTGCCCGCGGGGGGAGGCTGCCAGGGCCCCGGGGACCCCACGGTGTCAGCCCGTTCCTGCCCGGGGGGGGGGGGAGGCTGCCACGGCCCCGGGGGACCCCACGGCAGCGCCCGCCGCGGGCTGGGAAAGCCAGTCAATCCCCGGGGGCTCCCCCGCCGCCCCCAAGTACCAGTGACTCAGCTTGTAACACTGGGAAAATGGAAAGTTTGCAGGGAGGTAATAAATTAAACTGCCAACTTTTTTTTCTCCTTTTTTTTTTTTTTTTTTCCTCTTTTTTTTTTTTTTTTTTTTTTTTTTTTCCCCTTAAATTGAGTTTCACTCAGCCTTTTGCTAGGCCACCGAACCACTTGTTGGAGCGGCTAACAGTAAGAGAGAACTTAAAAGTTCATGTTAACTGCTGTCAGTTTGGGAACTGCATGTTATATTCATACACATAGAAGTAGACAACCACATCACCCTCCATAGAAAACTAGTGCATGCAAATAACTCTTCCATATCATAAAACCCAACGGCTATGCAGGAGGAGAGAGAAGATATACTAGTGAACTGACATTGGCTAGAGGGAAATTAGTAGGTATCTTCAACATTTTTACCTTGAAAGCTAAATCAGTGCTTTGTATTAAATTTTTGGCAAACATACCACGTTGCCATCCTTTTAATTAACACATCACACCATGAAGAAATGCAAAGAAAAGCAGCATGCAGGCAAAAGGAAAGAGCTGCAAGTGAGAAGAAAAAAAAAAAAAAAATGGCAGCAGGAACAGTTCTGAATGGCTAGATCACCAAAAAGGAGACACAGCAGATTAAATGTTGTTTGCTTTTTTTTTTTTTTTCACCACCCTTTGTCCTCGATGCATTACACCAACAATTACAGAAAGCAATCACAAAAGAGTTCAGTATTTTAAAATGGTCAAGTATGGATGGTATGTCTCCTGCACATGCTTCCACCAGAAGAAAATAAAAGTGAAAACAAAAGTTCCTTTCCACGTAAGGCACAGGACAAAATAAACCCCATTCACAGACTCAAGGCGAAAATGAGTGTTTTCCTGGCTCTCCTGCTGATGCATCTAGAGAATATGGTGACTCAAGCACATTATCCATGACAGAAAATTCCACTGTTGTACAAAATAAATTGTTAATTCTAACTTTTATTCTTATACAATTTGCAGAAGAGAGTTGAGTACGATTGCTATATGTTTTAATGTCAGGAGGAACGGGACTATAATACAACCAAAACGTAGTGGTAAGTTGAGCAGGTACATTAAAAAAATGAAGTCACGGAGATGATTTTCCTATACATGTGGCTGAAAAAAATTATAGTACGCAAGCTGTCCTAAACAGAAAACCAAAGGGAGACAGGAGCTTGTTAAGATGAGGAACAAAACATTGGTTTAAGGTTAAAAACGGGCAGAGTGGTTTGTTTTGCAGCGAGAAAAAAGGGGCGGTGGATGGCGATTGGTGATATAGGAGAACGTTCAGCAACACTTGCTCTTCCAGCCTGTCACCCCACCTCCACTGCTGATATCTACATTTTCACTGTTGGGCTCTTTTACAGGGGTCTGCAAGGAAATAAGTAAAAAGAGTTAGATGACTCTTGAGATATTCTGAAATAAAGTGTTCAGAGCTGAAGAAGCAGCAGCTTACAAGAAGACTGGCATCACCAAATAATATTATGAATAAAGGATAGACAAAGAGCCCCACAGAAATGTAGGGAATCTGTCTCCCCCCCTCCAGCAAAAGCATGCAAAACCAATTTAAGTTTAGTTTTAAATAAACAACAACCGGAAAGCTGGGAAAAAAACAAAACAAAACAAAAAAAAAAAAAAGAAAAAACCAACAACTTTTGAACTTGGACCATCCCAAAATAAACTAAAACTATTTCTAGATCCTGCTCTTAGAACTGACACTTGGACTTTGGTGGAGTAAGTAAATCACAGTGTACAACTAACACAAGCTGCAGTTAAATTATGTGAACTAATGACCTTCAAAAACCACAGAGTAATTATGGATAAAGAGGGGTTGTTCAAAAGCATCTGCCTTCCAGTTAAGCAGGACACCAGCTTCCGAGGCAGCGGACAAAACAGGCTCGCCTGCGTCACGGGATGTAAACTTGGTCAGACCAAAGCAAAAAATCAAAGTCCAGTGGTTTTGATCAGATGCTAACATCTACTTTCAGCTGTTTAGAAGCTAACCTAAACACTCACGACAATACTGGTGTTTAGTCCCCATATTCCTTTTCTTCTTATTCTTTGCCACAGCCTTGCAAGAGTAAACCTCCCCCCCGGTTCTTCAGACAAGCACACCGAGGCCAAAATAAAAATTTAAAGGTCAAAAGGGCGAGTAAGACTCCCTAGCCTGACCTCCTGTTTACCAAGGGATTTCCATCCAGTTTCTCACATAAAGCTTCTCAAAAACTGATTAAGAAACAACCCGGCACTATAAGGGCGAGCCAGACAGCCCCCAGCAGACGCGTATTTCAAAGGGTTGCAAACAGATTCAGCGTTGACCTTGCTCTCCAGTCCCAAGCAGCGACCTCAGCCGGCGTTCTCGGCAGCAGTCAGAGCAGCGGCAGAGGGATGGAGGCAGGCTCCACACCGGGAGGGCCCCTCCGCCGAGCTGGACCGCGGAAAAAAAAACCGCGGAGGGTCGTTCGTTTAGGAGCGAAACGCCCATGCTGGAGTGGGCCGACCCACGCCTCGAGCTCGGCGGAGTTTCAGCGCTGGGGGGGCCTGACCTGACCGGCGGGGGGGAACGTGCCAGCACAGGGTTGCTGGGTGAATCAGGCCCCTGGCTATGGGAGAGCGTCAACTAACCGGGACCAGCCCCGGAGCCACCCACGCGGCGAGCTCCGCTCAGTCCTGCGGCAAAACCCTGGCAGCTATTGGAAGCCGACGCGTTTTTCTACTCAGGGGAGGCGCCAGGGGTGCCAGCCCAGCTGCAGCCCGCAGCTCTGGGCGTCCAGGGTTGGGCGCGGGCCGCCGAGACCACCGCCGGCTCTCCGGCGCGCTGCACCTCTCAGGCTGGGCAGCCAACCACCAGGATGCACCGGTGACCCAGCTGCAATAAAACCTCCAACGAAGCGCAGAGGCTGAGAGGGCCAAATCATCAGCAACAAGGCGGGAGGCGACAGAGCTCGCTCATCTCTTCTACCAACCACATCTAAACCTCCCAAGAGGCGCTTCGGGGTTTTTCGACAGTGCTGTGTGCTGATGGAGAGGGCGGCAGGGAAAGGGCAGTTCTCCTCCACGCCGATTCAAGTGTTTTAACCCCAAGCACGTGTACGCACAACCACGAGTTTCAGGGCCAAGCAACTATGGCTTTACGCTCCTTGGCTCTACGCCTTCTACGCAGCAGCCCTACAGCAACGGAACAGCAAACAAGCTTTAGAAGCACAATACCCCAGGGTACACGTTTGTCTTCACATGCCAAAGTCAAGCGCTGCAACAAGTCAGGTAAACAGCAAAAGCAACGGGAGCTGAAATTTTAGGCTTTTTTTTTTTTCCCAAACAAATCCTGTAAGCACCTACCTTTCGAAGAATGTCTTCTGCTAATGTGAGGAATGCCTTCTCAATGTTTATATTTGCTTTTGCACTAGTTTCGAAAAACCTAATACCATGCTCCCTAGCAATCTAAACCAAGAAAGAAAAAAGGAGGTTAGCGTTACTGTAGTTATTCAATTGGTGCTGCTGTAACTTCGGGATTAGCGGCATTGATAAGCACGTAATATTCTTTTGGCTGTAGCAGGCATCAGAAGTACTAGCTAGGCAAAGTGTCACAAAAGAGGGTTTGGAACTTAACGATTCAGAACCAGCAATTAAAGCGTATTAAATCACAAGTCAATGTTGGAACATAAGACGACAGAAACCGCACAAGCCTGTCACGTGGTAACTGACTTAACAAAGGACGCCTGGAAATCTTTAGTTAGCAGAGGCAGCAGAAACTGCAGCTGAACTCTTTCCGTTCATGGCAGTTGTCTGCAATGCAGCCTCGGAGAAAACATCCCCTAGACTTACAAACAATCAGCAAATCCCGCGGCCTTGCTCATCGTTCCCTGGCACAGCCCCTTGTGGCACCTCGACCACCCCGAGGCGGCGGGCAGTCTTGGCACCAGCCTGCTTCCTTGGACTAGCTCGCTTTGGCCCAACACTTACCTGTTCGCCTTTTGCTTTAGGGACAACTCTCTTATCTTCCATGTCACACTTGTTGCCTAACAGCATCCTCTCCACATCCTCATTGGCGTGCTAAAATGAGACAAGAGACAGGTTTGCGCATCTCCCCCAAGCAGCAGTAAATAGCTACTTCACTTCATTATTTCACGGCTGTTTGAAGTCCGGGCCAGCGTTTACAGGTCTCGGTGTCCTGCACTTCCCTGAGCTGTAACAGAAGGACTGCTAGACACTGTCCCTCCGACTAAACTGCTCCTGGAAGTGCAATGAGACAACAGCTGCAGGTTTGACACAGCTCTACCACCATCCCAGTGCCAGTTATTTCCCCCCTTCCTTCCTTTTTATTTCTGTAGTTTAAAAGTGTGAAGTCTTCCTTTCAGAAGAAGACTAAGTGCTGTTCTGCAACCCAGATCCTCCTAATTAATGACACCAGCCTACCAAACCTTCGTGAGTTTGCATTCAGCAACATGGGAAAAGAATCCACTTCCTGCCCGGTGCTCAGAGGCGTGAGGTTTTACGTGTGCTAGGCAAGCACACCACAGAAACGATGCTGCAAAGCATGACAGGACAAGAACCACCCCACGCCTGGAGCTGCCGGCAGTCAAGCTTCGTACACTGGAGTGGCTCCAGCTGACACTACTGCTTTTTGGTGTTTAAAGGGTCCTTTGCATTGTTTTATTGTAGACAGGGAAGCCTCCTTAACAACTGCAACTAAGCTTTCAACCACCACAAAACCAAACAGCCAGGAAGATAGTAAAAAAGCCTGTTTGCCTGTAATTTTTTTTTTAGAGGAGTAACCGAGTTAGCTAATAAAGAGCAATTACAGCTCTCTAGCATCACGCTGCTCCTCTGGTGTCACAATCATCAGAGCAAGACCACGTGTCAGCTTTGTGCTTTAGCTCTGTCTGCTAAGCACCTCATGCAGGGAAATGGAATGCAGACTGTACCCCGAGCACACAAACCAGGACATCACCAAGGGAAAACTGAAGTGAGCGCCCTGCTAACGCTTGGGATCCAAAGAAAAGCAGGACCACACACACAGGAGTCACCTCTGTAAGGCAAAAGAGAGTGCCAATGCTTTCTCAAGGAAGGCTGAACGAGCAAAACCACCTTGGCTGTGCAGTACTGCCACTAGCCACCAGAGTAAGGAAAGAATAGGCCAAAGAGATCCACCAGGCTAGCAAAGAGATCCAGAAGCCGCGGCACAAAGTGTCAGTTAAGTAACTGAAGTACCCCGAAACCTGCCACCACAGCTGCGTGTGAAGTCTAATCTGAATTTACTTTCACTCCAACAGTCCAGATACTGCTTTAAGGTAACATTACCAACAGAGCCACAGAGGCGAGAGAGCCACGTACCCAGTGCTCCTGCTTACAGTAATAACCCGCTTCACATTCCTCAGGAGAATCACTCCCAGTTTTTTCCTTTCAGGTCGCAAGGAAGAAGAGCAACCAGTCGGCAAAGGTAGATTATGATGTCATGGAGAGTAAGACTCTGAAAATGCTAACTTTTCACGCACACAAACAAAACTGCTTACACAGCAACGGGCTTCTTTCAAATACAGCCAGCCTCAACACAGAAAGCTCTGCACTTGCGCAACTTAAGCAAGAGTGCACGGCACAGTACACCTCTGCAAAATGTGTGAACTTCAAATAATTAAGTATTTAGCAATGATGAATGCGTAATGTTTCTAGGTTGCCTGGCTCTTTCTAAATCAAAGCTTAATCATCCTGTAGAAGAGCCTCCTTGCACAGAATAACAATTCTGAAGAGCAGCTTGCTTATTGAAAATTCTCCTCCTTCAGAGAACATCCTTGGCAATATTAACTCCTTGTGAATGAAGTCACTAAGTGCTTTGGTTTTACAACCATTATTTGCGACAATCCTGTACATAAGTGGGCAACACCTGCCACACATTTTAACAAGAAGCCTCAACACTGCATCTGGAACCTCAGAGGATGACTTCACCCATCATTGCTGCAAACGCACTCCTTCAGTGAGCGCCTTTCATAACAAAAAAAGCTTCCTAAAGTGTCAAACATCCCTTATAAACCCGCAGTAACCATGCAGCCTGCCCAATGTACCTGAAAGCAACGGCAGGAGTTTGTGTGGCACAGGTTGAAAAACATGAGGCCAGCAAAACCACTCTCTTCTCAGACACAATAGCATGAATGACATCCGTTACTCAGCTTCCTGGACACTACTAAAGTGTTTACACATAGCAACTGCAGAATCTAAAGGCCCTGGTTTCAAGTTTACATTCAACTCGTCGCTGAGTTTCTTCCCGAGCTGCTTTACCTCCCGTCCGCCCCGCCTTTCTGTACGCACCAAGTGTGTACTGCTTATGGCAAGGTAGAGTTTCCCATTTCTCATGCTAGGAAATTAAAGTCCCGATATCACGTTTTTGCTCTGTAAGAACCTCTCACCAGCTTCAATGCTTCCACTAGCAATGCCTGACAGCACCCATCTGCTGACGCTCCGTTCTACAGGGCCATCTTCGTGCTTTCTACGAAAATCATGAACCTGGAAAATCTCAACAGTTATTCCAGCTGAGAACAGCATCACAAAAGCAAGAACTAACAGTTGTGCTGCTCTCTAACGTCTCAGAATTCCCAGAGAATGAACTCTTGGGTATCCAGGCACTGAATGTTTCCACATCAGTTTCTTCTGCTTCACTTGACCTTGCTTGAAATTCTACCAGCCCCCTTGTTTGGTGGTACTCTAACGAGGACAAAAAAACTCAGCTATGCAGTTTGCTAACACTCAACAACAGCAGTTTGCTACGCTACCTGCAACAGCCATGATAAACCTTCAAATATTTCACAAAGTCAATTTTGAGGGAGCGGAGGTGATCGTATTTACCTGTGAGGATTTACATGGTCATCCTTATAAAACAGGTTAGTATGAGAAGTGACATATTCCATAGCTACTCCACGGCTTATGGCTTAGTGTTGCTCCTCTGCACACCACCTTGTGGTGGCAGCTCCTCCTGAAAACCCCAACTCCCACTTACTAGCAGACATACTCCTCACCTCTGAGTATTCTCCAGCACAGAACCAAAGTTTTTTCATGTATGAATTTGACATTTTCGGACACCACTAGCTCCCGTGTAGTGTTGCAACCCTTCATGCTGTTGCTGAAGGGAGAGCTGAGGGAGGGAGCAAGGCCAGCTGAAGAACAGCCCCCCCAAGCCCCCGTGTTAAATTACACCTTCTGCCAGGGCAGAAGCAGAAGCTGCAGTCCAGAAGCTGAGTTCCATGGGACTCATCACATGCTCTACGGGTCACGGTGAACAGCTCAATTCTGGGATCTTACAGACATTACTCACCTCGTCTATGTTTCTGAGCCACTTGCTGATGTTTTCAAAGCTCTTGGCATTGGTGATGTCATATACTAGCATGATGCCCATGGCACCTCTGTAATAGGAGGTGGTGATGGTGTGAAATCGCTCCTGCCCTGCTGTGTCCCTGCAGAAAACAGACAAGAGTACGGATCAGAGACAAGCTCTAAAGAACCCAGTACGGTCTATCTGTTAGCCAAGGTCACACAGCCCGGTACGTGCTCTGCTGCAGCGCTGCCCAGGGCTCTGCAATGTTTCTGAAGAGCAGTAGGACACCCTCCAATGCGCACCAGCAGCAGCTCGGGGAATGCCCACTCCCTCCCAGGTGCAGCTGATCACTCGCAGAACAAAACCAGCAAGCTTCAGTAAGCCAGGCTCATGAGGCAACAGAAACTCAGCGCTTGAAGTTCCTCTTTTGGATTTTACTTTAAGGGGGATTGGATTTTTTTAAAAACACACTTCAGAGTCAACTATGGCAAACAAAAGACACTGGACTGTGTAAACTGGCCTTACACGACTACGGTGGCAGAAGATGAAGCTACCTGCTGAACTGCAAAGTGGTAGGTTGCAGTAGGTCCTCTGCTGCCTTATCACAATAAACAAACCCACTATCAAGTCACGGTAGAAAGTTGTTCATTTTAAACTCCGTATTTTTATGGGCAACTTGAAATTTGCACCCGAAAGGAGAAACTTTTATTGCCAAGTTTCGTATCTCAGGAAAGTCTCTCAAAGACTTCCGAGCCTTGGTGGAAGCTGGTAGCGGACAGCACAAAACCAGAAGCAAGAAATGCTCCACCAACCCTTTGACAGGACTGTGAGCTCCAGCAGTGAGCGCATCTGAACAACCCCAGAGACGCTGTCGTCCCAGACACTCTCTCCTGTTACTGACCAGTTCTTCCCAAATGAATATAAAAACAAGCCACTTTAAAACTCCATCTATGATTTTTAAGTTACATACCATAACCACGGACCAGCCTGACTAGACATGGCACAAGCCCAGCTGCCTCAGTACTCAAGTTTCTGTAGAAAGTTCCCAAAACGTTGTAGGTTGTTTAGCAGTGCTGCTGTCTAAGCCAGCAGAGACTGGAACTGTGACCAGCAGTGACTTGACCCAACTATCCAGTCAACACCACCGCGATGCCAGAGAACATCTCTTTCCATTTCAGCAGCTGCTAAGCAGCCACGAAGACGATCACTCAACGTTTTCTGGAACTCAGACTCGACACTGAGAGAAATTTTGTTTTCAGATCGGTTTTGAAAAGCTTTAACTTGATCTTACAAATGTAAATTCCTGAAATTTTATGTCGAAGTATATGAGAGATAAATTTAGATGTAATGTAACATTGAACTGCTGATTTCTATAAGCAATATGCTGGAAATTGATCGTGCAAGATGAATGACAGGATCTGTTTTCCCATCTCATTCAGAGATCTTTAATGGAATGTATGAGATTTGGTTAAACAAACCTGCATGCCATTAAATTGAGAATTAGAAGTTAACTGCATGTTCTACTGTGTCTTTCAGAGGACGTAAACCTAACAGATTATGTGTTTGCAGTGAGTTCTCAGTGACACTATTCACATCAGAAAGACCCGGAGCTGCTCGAGCGGGGCCAGAGGAGGCCACGGAGATGCTGGGGGGGCTGGAGCAGCTCCCCTGGGGGGCCGGGCTGAGAGAGTTGGGGGGGTTCAGCCTGGAGAAGAGAAGGCTCTGGGGAGCCCTTCGAGCGGCCTCCCAGGGCTTAAAGGGGGGACAGGAGAGGTGGGGAGGGACTCTGGATCAGGGGGTGGGGATGGAATGAGGGGGGACGGTTTTGCACTGAAAAAGGGCAGATTTAGGTGAGATCTGAGGCAGAAATTGTTCCCTGTGCGGGGGGCAAGGCGCTGGCCCAGGGTGCCCAGAGCAGCTGTGGGTGCCCCCTCCCTGGAAGGGTTCAAGGCCAGGTTGGACGGGGCTGGGAGCCCCCTGGGCTGGGGGAAGGGGGCCCTGCCCGGGGCAGGGGGGGGCACTGGGGGGGATTTGAGGTCCCTTCCCACCCAAACCAGTCTGTGATTTGATGACAAGGTAGAATCAAAGGTGTCGCCAAATTTAAACTGGTCTAAATTGATATTACACATTCCCTAACTGCCTTCAGAAAGGCACACCGTTCCCCCCCAGACACACATTTCCTTGCTCACAAATCAGTAATCTCAGAAAAGGTGACGGACTGCAGCTGAACTAGTTCAACTCGTTTCCCTCTCAATTGTTCCTGAGGTCACAGCAAATGCCTTGGCAGAACATGGACACCACCAGGCACCCAGTCCTGTGAGAACTCAGCTCTCCCCACTGCTCTGTCACCTACAGTTGAACCAACAAACGCTGACTATAGTTGCCAAATCAATTTGTTTAAGTACACGTCAGATTGCTAGCCAGGTATCAGTTGACAAATGAGGAGTAAATGAAAAGGCTCAAAATCTGAAGATACCATGGAGGAAGAGTTCCTGAGCTGAAGAGGAAATGCTCTACAGACTTTCTTCTCAAAGAGTCTTACCACCTTCTGTTTGGCTCAGACCCCAGATCACAGTTTTGAGGCTGATTGCTCTCGAGATTTTACCTCCTCCTAGCAAATGACGAACACCAGGAAGAGGGCAAAGAGGAGAGGAGGAGGAACAGGGGCAGGTCCCAAACCTGAGCACCTCTTTGTTCAGAGATGTTCTAACAGGCCGTGCTGCGCAGAGGTCTGGCTCACTGGCGGTAGCCAAGAGGCAGCCCAGTCCATTCCCTGGCTCTACAAAACGTTGAGGAATTACCCACATTATTCCCAAAAGATGCCTGGTGTTCTGCTGGAGACCTCTGACGACTGCTGGCTTGAGTCCCTTTCTCTTGTTTCCTTCCTTTCCCATTTGAAAGTTTCTCCTGATGGCACGCTTGCGTCTTCTTTAGGCCAGCAATCCTTGTCTTCCCTTTCACAGGTAACTAGAGAAGTTCATTTTCCTTCTTTCTACAACTAATTTTGTGTTCTCAAACATAGCTCTTGCACCTTCACTGAACTTTCTCAAGCCACCTCAAGTTCTTTAGACCTTACTGGCCAAACATCTAAGATAAGCAGCCTCACCCATTACTCTCTCCGGACTCCCTCCAATTTGCCCCCACCTAAGCCAAACCCAGGACACCACTCCAGCTGAAGTCTTTCCAGCCTTGTACAGGAACATTTTCTAGAAGCCTTGGGCACGCCTGTTTATGCATCCCATTCCCTTTCCTCATGGAAATGGGAATTTCCTCATGGAATTTTCTGACATTTGAATAATTGATTACACATACTGAACTTGCTAACTTTGCATTTGTCTCTACTGAATTTCACAGGACTTTTTTCAATGACATTTCTCCAATCAGTCAAAAGCAATCTGAATTATAATTCAGTTCTCTATACAATTTATACTTTGCAACTTCATCTTCTCCTGTTTACCTTAAATAGGATAACCATACTCTTTATTCCCTTCACCCCGACATTAAAGAAAACCTTGCCTATCGTGAGCCTCCGGACACACTCCTGCAAAATATCTCAACAAAACTCTTACTCACACACCATTTATTTTCTCGTGCCGTGAGTTTTGTATTCATTTGACAGCATCTTCACCCAAGTCATTTCCCCCGAACGTGCTGATATCCAGCAGGACAGTGTCAGAAAAGCCTTACCAACAACATCAAGACATTCGGCATCTGTAATTTCTCCCACCACAGTAAGAATTCAGACTGATTTTACACAACTTGGCACTGGCAACACTTAGTTGTTACTCACTGCTTGTCACGTCCGATGCACCTACAACTAACTTTCTTAGTTAATTCCTCCAGTGTTTTTTCTGGCAACTGAAGCTAAGCTAATGGATGAAAAGAAAGCTGGGCAGGAAAAAAAGAAAGAACCTGGAGAGTTTCCCCTCCCACACCTCCCCCCCCCCCTTTTTTTTTTTTTTAAGTACTATATTTGACCTTTCCCCTTCTTAATGGATTCTCCATTCATTATTCAGAGATAACTCTTAATGGATGTGAGATTAGAGAACTGACTGAAGCAAACAGAGGAAATGAGTTATGGTTTTCAAACTGCCTATGACTGATGAATCCACCCTGAGCAAATGGCACAAGGCAGTCTGAGACCCCATGTCTTGTTTACTGCCCTGGCTTTCCATTCTTTTGTTCAAACCTCTAGGACGTAAGAATATTCTCCAAAGCTATGAGCGTGCAGTAAATCCTCGATGGAGGCAAAAGCATTTGTGGAAGCTAGCTAGCTTTCCAAGCTAAAATAAATGTAGACAAGGGCTATTAAGATAGCCAAGGAAAATGAAGCCCTACTGCACAAGAGGAAATGGAGAGAACTTGGTTTGTTTAGCTGCAAAATGAAGACAAAGAAGGTCATCCTGTGGGACTAGGGAAAGCAGAAGCACAAGGAAACTAAAAAATCTATTTAAATTATTCTCAGGCTGACATTAAAGTATGCATAAGTCATATCATTCTAGAGGTTTAACCAACAGAGAAAGGAATTTCTGGGACAGCTTTCCGGTTGACCTAGCAGAGACTAAAGAAACCTTAAAATGTACTACGATTTGTTTATGAAAGATTTACAGGGATGCAACAAGAAGTGATTACATCTGATGATCTGTGAAGATCCTTCCAGTCCACGAAGCTTGAAATAAATGTCTTCAACATATTAAACCAAATAATTCCTAGCAAAATATTCTTAAGGATTTTATTACTCTCCCACTGTTTCTTCTTATAATATTTTTAAAACTATCCAGGAGAATACTGCATTGAAGAAACTGTACTGCTGACACCAGGCACACTCTGGAAGCTTTAGTGACCGGGTCAAAGACTTTCCTTCCCAAAGGAACATCTGTAAGATACTTCATGACCAGCAAATTTCAGCTTTTCTGAGAAATATTCAGCCCCCCCCAAAAAAATATAGTGAGTGTAGTATCTAATTGTTTTATAGGAAGTCAGGCTGACATGCCAAGAAAATCTCTTCCACCTTGAGCTACGCACACAGTGAACAGTCTCAAAAGCTCTTGGCAGCAAGAGTTAACTTTTAGATGTTCCTAGGGTAACTGCAAATATTGATGAGACTGACTGTGCACTAGTTGCTGGTGCCGTCTGCAG